TTCTCTCTTCCTTTGTATTAGGTTGAGACGAGTTGGAGGCGGTGGCGTAGGACGAGCGAGATGGTGGTCATTAACTGATGTGTCTTTGCTTCCGCCTATTTTTTTTATTATATGATGAACTACTTGCTTTTATTTTGGATTATTTATGCTTCAGCTTGAAATCATGTCTGTGTTGGTTGAACCATGGATTTATGTTAAACTTTTTGGATAATGTTGAGACTTGAATAAGCAGGTTTATTTTTATAACTGTTGGCTTATGTATGTGTAGGATTTGGTTGAACTTTGAATAATGCTAGACCTTTTAAAATGGTTTGAGACTCATGTTTTGGTATTTGTTTTATTGTTAGCTCGTGCATGTGTAGTTCCCTTGTATTATTGGATGTGTGTTGTTGGTTGATGTTAGTAGGTAGCGCCCGTTTCTCTGAAAAGGTTTTAACTTGAATTTTTTTTTTTTTAAAAAAAAAACTCTGATTTTTATTAAATAAATTCGATAAATTCTTTAAAATAAAACGGGGCGTTACAGTTTGGTATCAGAGCCAGTCTTGCTTTTCTGTAGACTGGTTCATATGTGACTAAGTGTTTAATGACCATTCGACCACTCGCTTCGTCTCGCCGCACCAGCTCAAGGTATAAGTTTTATTTGTTTTGATTATTGTGAATGACGTGATTATGGTTTGTTCTTTTATTGGGGCTTAGGAATTTACCCTCCGTTTATTCGGACTTGAACTCTAGTGGTATAAAGTTAAGTTCCAGCTTTAGAAGTGTTTGTTGCGAGTTTTTGGGTTGGTGTTATCGAGTTAAGTTTGGTCTATAGCAGTGCACTCATTATGAGTTTCTGTTTAGTACCATCGAGTGAGAATCATTCGTAAGCTATCTCGAAAGAGAAGGCTTAAGTAAAGGGAACAGACAAACGAATAAGTTTCGGATGTGTGGATTATTCGGAAGTCTGTGACTATTGTGGCTAGAACTATTAGGCGCCTGTAGAACCCGATCAATGGGAACCGGGAGTGGAGTCTAAGTGTCGGTTTCATGTCGATGATCCGACCACTTGTGCTGGTAGATTCGTGGGGATCAGGTTAATGGCTGATTTTCCCTGTTATAATTTGTTCGTTTTCATTCGTTCTTACTCGTTGGTTTGTCTCGCAAATTCTTCGAGAATATTGATAACTCTCGTCTTTTATAAATCGAGTATCATGTAGTTGCTGTGATGAACATGTTGTGCTCGTTTATTTTATTGGGAAGTCATATTAATCGTGGTTGAGCTTAGAACATTGGTTATATATGTTTATTGTTATTTCTTGTTAATTTACATGTTCGTTGTTTCTGTTGTGCCTCAGTTTAAGCCATCCGAGGCTAGTTATTTGAAGTTGCTATCTTCTTATGAAATGTAGTATGTTCGGTTTTCTATATGTGGGCTTTGGAATTTCTCGATTCCGAGTTACATCGAATAAGTTATGATTTTTACGAGAATATTGCGCGTCCAGTTTTCCTGTTACCTGGCAGCATGTGTGTAATTAATGTATGACCTGTTTATCATGTCATAACGTGCTCTTATGAATTTATGCTCTTCATG